CTCTCTCTCTCTCTGCCCCTCCCCTGTTCATGCTCTGTCTCTCTCTGTCCCAAAAATAAATAAACGTTGAAAAAAAAAATGCATAGTTCTCTCAAGGAAAACATTTACTGATTGAATTTTGAGCTGAACTACCATCTTTGCTCCCCGCAGAACATGATTTTTACTTGAAGAGCAATTGACTGACAAACTATGACTTTTGAGCCTTAGCTATTTGGCAGATATTTTCCTGAAATAAATGAAATGGGTCTGTCACTTCAGGAAAACAAGAGCTCTGGTTGCCAAAGATAAATTTTGCATTGTGAAACACTTGTATCTGACACCATGAAGTTGACAGCATCCTAACAAACATATTTCTCATGAGACTGTTGGTGAAAAAAAATAATAATAAAATTTGTCCTCTAGGAATGCTATCTCTTTTTAAAAATTTTTTGTTCAGGGGCACCTGGGTGGCTCGGTTGGTTAAGCGTCCGACTTCAGCTCAGGTCATGATCTCACGGTCCATGAGTTTGAGCCCCACGTTGGGCTCTGTGCTGACAGCTCAGAGCCTGGAGCCTATTTCACATTCTGTGTCTCCCTCTCTCTCTGCCCCTCCCCTGTTCATGCTCTGTCTCAAAAATAAATAAATGTTAAAAAAAAATTTTTTTTTTTAAATTTTTGTTCATAATGAGTCAAAAAACTGCTTTGGAAAAGCATATGATGCCAGCATGCTTCTTCCCCACTCTTTTTTTTTTTTTTATAAGAGACAGCATCTCGAGCAGACAGCATCCGCTCTCGAGCACAGAAGGGGCAGAGGGATAGAGAGAGAAAATCTCAAGCAGGCTCCACGCTCAATGTGGAGCCAGACACGCTGCTAAATCCCACAACCCTGGAATCATGACCTGAGCTGAAATCAAGAGTTGTACGCTCAACTGACTGAGCCACCCAGATAGCCCTTCCTTTTAAAAGCCACCCAGTCCCTTTTAATTTTTAACCCCTTCCTTTAAAAGCCACCCAGTCCCTTTTAATTAATAAATTCCTCATAATTTGTTCCTTTTAATTAATAAATTCCTCATAATTTGTTCCATGGACATTTTCAACAAGTCTAAAACAAACATAAATTCCACCTACCTGATTTTTTTTTTTTTTTTACTGGCATTATCAGGAAAAAATCAAGAAGTCTAATGTTGTCTACTTTGTGAATAGGCCCTGTGAACATAGCTTAGGGAGAAGAAATCTACTAAAGTCTTGACTTACACATTTTACGAATGTTACATGTGAAATGCAGCATTTACTTGCACCATAACAATGAGTGGCTTTCTCTGGTGACTGCCTTGCACTTCAGAGCCCCACAGAGGATGGAATTCTGTTCCCTCAGCTAAGATAGCCAACAAGACTGTGATCACCCCTCCCTCGTCTCTTTCAGAATATCTGAATTTGTTGCGGGGCCTGGGTGGCTCAGTCAGTTAAGTGTCCGACTTCAGCTCCGGTCATGATCTCGCCACCGTTGAGTTCAAGCCTTGCGATAGGCTCTGTGCTGACAGCTCGAAGCCTGGAACCTGCTTCTGCTTCAGACCCTGTGTCTCCCTCTCTCTCTGCCCCTCCCCAACTCACACTGTGTCTCTCTCTGTCTCTCAAAAATGAATAAACATTAAAGAAATGTAAAAAAGAATATCTGAATTTGTTTCCTGAAGCAGATAAAATCCTAATAGAAAATAAAATAACTCACTACCTTACCCAGGCTATAATTAAATTTTTTAAATGAATGTTTATATAAACTTTATGTAATATTGGCAAAAAAAAAGTTTAAAATCAAATTCAAACCTTCAAAAAGTTATATTAATACATCCTTTCAAATAATGTGACTTTAGAAAAGAATATTCACAGATTTCATAGATAGGAAAAATTCTTAGCTCAACATAAGCTGACATATTTTATAACTCAGATATAATACCGATTAAACCTATATCCATTCTATAACAAGCAACCTTAACTGTAACTCAGGTAGATTGATGGGAGAAAATTGGATATTTAAAAACAAAACAACAAAAACAAAGATTAAGCCAAAAAGAGTCAGATGATTAAGAGAACTCATTCTGACCCTGACTAAAGTTAGCATAAAACAGTCACAAAGAGTGGGGACACCAGAAAGTTAACTTTCTCAATAGAGTAAGCAGCAAAGGGCTTAGACCTGAGATACTGTCTAGAAAAATAAGAGCTCTTCAGTTTGTTCTCCTCCAGAAATAAAATCAGAGCCATTCTGCTTAAGTCCTAACAACGATGGTGGCAATAATAAACATTATCTGGGGCCCCTGGGTAGCTCAGTTGGTTAAGCGACCGACTTTGGCTCAGGTCATGATCTCACAGTTCATGGGTTCAAGCCCCATGTCGGGCTCTGTGCTGACAGTTCAGAGCCTGGAGCTGCTTCGGATTCTATGTCTCCCTCTCTCTCTGCCCCTCCCCTGCTTGTGCTCTTTCTCTCTGTCTCAAAAATAAATAAACATTAAAAAATTTTAAAAATAATAATAAACATTAGCAGCAACAGCAATTTGTTGAGCGCATAACTATGTGCCGGGCACTGTTCTACCTTACTTGTATACTGAAGACTATCAATAATCCCACTTTACAGATGTGGAAACCAAGACAGAGAAGTTAAGCAATTTCCTCAAAGACACGGATTGAGTAAGTGGCAAAGTCAGGATTAGAACACAAGCATTCTAGTTGCAGAGCCCACACTCATTGCTTATATACTCTACTCACTGTCCCTCTAGCTCTGAGGATGAAAACAACAATGAGACTTTCAGACTGGAAATTAGCTGAGCATGATCCACAAATGAAAGCTCTGAGAAGATGCTACATAATGGATGACATTCTTGACAACATCCTTACATTATGTGTGACAGTTTCTGAAGGTTCTTTCTTATGGTATCCCTTCCAAACACAGATGATGAAGTCAATGTGAGATTCTTAATCCTACAGATCTACGTGTACTTCAAGATAAACTGATTATAAAATCCTCTCAGTATCTGACTATCTAGATAAGGCTGATAGCCACAAGTCAATGTTAGAGGAACATCCACGTAAAGAATAATTTGGTTTAGGGGCGCCTGGGTGACTCAGTCGAGCATTCAACTTCAGCTCAGGTCATGGTCTCATGGTTCATGGGTTCGAGCCCCTCATCAGGCTCTCTGCTGTAAGGAGCCTGCTTCAAATCTTCTATCCACCCCTCTCTCTGCCCCTTCCTCTCTTTTTCTCTCTCTCTCAAAAATAAACATTAAAAAATGATTCTAAACCATTAGAATAGCTGATTTACAATCCTCATCTCTGAAGGCAATTAGATAGTTAGCCAGTTGTGAGGACCACAACCTAGTTTCTTGCCATGAAGTCATGTCATCTGGATGTCTTTCTTTCTATTCCCTACAGTGAAGGTAAGGAGAGAAGACAGATCAAGTGCATCCAGAAGGAGTATCAAGACATCAAGATATGAATTAAAAACACATCCTGTTCTGTCCTTCAAGACACTGGTATTCACTCATATGAAAGACAGTTCACTGACCCTGAGTCTCACAGTTATTGGAAAGTAGACATTGTGTAAAGGTAAACAGTGACCAGTGGGATGAATGTGTTAATTAACTCAATGGAAGAAACACTTTCACAATGTATACATACATCAAATCATCACATTGTACATTTTTAATATCTTACAGTGTTGTCAATTATGTCTCAATAAAGCTAAAAACAAAAACAAACAAACAAACAAAAAACATCGACTGGTAGGAACACAGCTCACTGTCAAGATGCAGTTAACAAACTGTGTCCCCTAGAACCCTAGGGTGGAATGGGGATGTTCCTTGGTGAAAAGGTCCCTCAATCCTTTCACCTAGATACCTGTTTTATACTTTTAGGGTTCTGAGTAAAATTGTATCTGAATGTGCTCTGCCACTTTTTAAAAAAAGTTTAAAATTACCACTTTACCATATTTTCCAACTATGTGGGGTTACTGTCTGGCTTGTTCAATAGATCTAAAAATACTAGAAATAGGGATGCCTGGGTGGCTCAGTGAGTTAGGCATCCAACTTCAGCTCAGGTCATGATCTCATAGTTTGTGAGTTCGAGCCCTGCATCAGGCTTTCTGCTGTCAGCACAGAGCCTGCTTTGGATCCTCTGTCTGTCTGTCTGGCTGTCTCCCTCTGCCCCTCCCCTGCTCACTCGTGTGTGTGTGTGTGTGTGTGTGTGTGTGTGTGTGTGTGCGCACGTGCGCGTGCATGCACATGCGCGCTCTCAAAAATAAACATGAAAAAATAACTTTAAAAATAAAAATATTAGGGGGCGCCTGGGTGGCGCAGTCGGTTAAGCGTCCGACTTCAGCCAGGTCACGATCTCGCGGTCCGTGAGTTCGAGCCCCGCGTCGGGCTCTGGGCTGATGGCTCAGAGCCTAGAGCCTGTTTCCGATTCTGTGTCTCCCTCTCTCTCTGCCCCTCCCCCGTTCGTGCTCTGTCTCTCTCTGTCCCAAAAATAAATAAACGTTGAAAAAAAAAATTAAAAAAAAAATAAATAAAAATAAAAATATTAGCAATAAAAATCTTTTCAACCAATTTTTGCAAGAACAATTACATAAAAATTATTTGGCCAACTACCTGCCAAAATGTACATTAGATACTTGCTTTGCATGAAAACAATACAGTATTACTTACATACACACACACACCTCTGCTTAACTACAGCATGCTAACAATCATTCCACTGAGCACCAGAGACAATCAACAACTACACAAATCAATTCCTATCAATATTTTTCATTAAAATAAAAATCCAGCTTCCCCATTTCTATTTTAGTTCTCAGCCCAACATATGCAATATAAACCGAGCAGTTATTAAGACTGTCTCCTGTATCAGTAACCCGATTCTACCTTTTGTTTAATATATATTAAACAATATATACAAATATTTTTTATATTTATGCCCATAATGCATAAAGTAGTTGCATTCTATGGAAAAGGCCAGATCTTACGACATTAACTCACCAAAATGATCTGAAGGAAGGTCTCATATTGCCGCATATTATACAGTGCTTCTTTTAACATATATGGCTGAAGTTCCATACTCAAGAGTGGGTTCTTTGCTACTGTCTCAAGGATGGCTGTGTAGCGGTATGCCTGGTCCTGCGCAATCTGAAGTTGGGAATCGATGTGTTGAGTGGTGGCTGGGACTGCTTCCTGTAGAATAGCTGGCACTGTTTTTAAAAGTATATTGAGAGACATGAAAGAATCTACAAAGAAGAAGCCTTCGAAGTGGTCGCATTTTGAGCATTAAATTTAGTAGTTTTTTTTCTTAACCAAATTAATAATAAGAAGGTATATATTTCATATATTTCTCCCTACACCATGAAATAAAGAACTGGGCGGGGGGGTATGTGGGGGGGTGAAATCTGTCCAAACAAAAGACATTGTAGAGC